CTCTGCCTTCAGAGCTGGGTGTCCAGCCAGCAGCCGCTGCTCTCTGCCCTGCCTTCAGAGCTCACCCCACCCCGAATACATTCTGTGCCCCCCAGTTTGAGAACTGAAAACTGTGGTGCTAGCAGCATGGCAGGGGAGAGCGAGCAGAGCCTGTGGGAGCATGAGCAGCCCGGTGGCGGGAGCCCTTCCTGATTGGGGAAGGGTGGCTATAGGGGGGCTAAGGCAAATTTTGGGGTGACTATAGCCCCGCAAGCCACCCCTAGCACTGCTCCTGTTGGTGTGGGCCCTGAGTCGCTGTAGATTGAATAGGCCCCCGTCCAATCTGAACTGGCTGTGTATACCTCCATCAAAGTCCTGGAATGCAAACAAAAGCGTGGGCTGGAGCCATTACGCAGCCTCGTTTGATGCCATTAGTGACAATGAAGGCTTCTGATGAGTCGGCACAGTCCATCATCCTGGCCACTGTGGAATAAGTGAATAACAGCAATCATCTTCTCCGGGCCACTAAGTGTATGAAGGAGTTTCCATAGGCCCTAGCGACTCATTGTGTCAAAGGCCTTGATCAGGTAGTTAAAGTCCCCCCACTTGGGTGGAAATTCATAATTCTGTATTCAGTGCTGGGTTTGAATGGTGTGTGGTAAATAAGGTTTAAGGCCACCTATTGAATGATGATAATAGAGTTATTGAATAACTACCTATTCACTGAAGGAGGCCGGGTCCTGTGGAAAAAATAGTATGTGATCACGTAATTAAAGTCTGTTTCATAAAATACATGGAAGTAAGGGGGTTAAATTAAGTTTGCACAGGCAGCCTTAATTCTGGCATTTCCTAACTTTTGAGTGCTTAACTTTGTCATGTGAATATGCTTTTAATGTAGTGGTTTTGGATGTTTTATATTAACTGTTGCACACAATGAAAATATTAATGAGGAATTCATTTGAATGTGTTTTGTTAACAAGCAGAAAGGTACAAAAAGTCTAGCGCACTCCAGAGGGAGACCCTTGTAAAGAGATATGGTTGAAGACATTTTGCTTTTGGTCTCATATCTCAAATATAAAATTATTGAACCATTTAAATATTAATCTTAGTCTATGAAATATCCAAGGCTTGATCTTCACTACAGACTTCTGTTGATAGGGCCTCCCAGCTGAACTCCTGGTGTAGTTTGCCTCAAAGAGCTTTGAAACCGTCTTGTTTCCCATTCATCCCAAGGTAGAGATGTATGTCCTCTGGCTCAGTCTGGTACCATGCAGGAGATCCAGCACCCGTACTCCCCGCGCCAATGTGTGCAGCCAATTATACTATGCAAAGGGCATGTAAAACCCTCCCACCTCAGCATGCTAATAGTTCAGCCCTATGCTGCACAGATGGAGAACATGGTGGCAAACTCATTGGGCAACATTTGCTGCTGCTGCAACCAGCTTCCGTGGGGTACAGTTGAGAGGGGGAGTCACAAAGGAGCCGGTCGTAGCTCCATGATTCTAGGGCCAGTTTGAGGCCAGCCAGGCACAGAGTAGAGCAACCTAGTGGGTGCTTTAATCCTCTCCAGCTGGTGATGTCCACAAGGGGGTCTCTAGGCACTGTCTTGATAGCAAGGACAAGTAATAATAAATGGTTTCTGATGGGGCGGATAGAGGTATTTCTCACTCTTGTTATTAGTTCTCAGGCTCGTAGATGTTGGATAAATTGTCAAGCTCTGGTCATTTACACCTGTGTACAGTGAGTGCAAATCAGAATCTTCTGCTCAGTGACATAGGTGTTTTTACAGGTATTTTGCACACAGGTCAATGCCTATGAGGTTCATATCAGTGGAGAATCAGGCTCTGTCTAGTTTGTTAGTGTGCTTAGCAGGCCTGGCTTCTATCTGAAACGTATGTAGTAAAGGTATCAGCTAAGTGCATCTCAATGTTCCACCTGGTACTAATTTTAACTGCACTTTTGTTTACAGCACATAGGTTTCTAATATTTGCCCCTTCACTCTGTGTTTGATTTAGCTAGTGCATCCACCTCCAAGGTATCTTTGGTTCAAAACGCTGGTCTGATGTCTACAGAAGAACACAGTCCTGTCTAGACACTGAACCAAACACTGAGCTTGGGATACAGTCTTTGATGGAGCCTCCTTCTGAGCAGCTGTGGCCATTGAGAAAAACAATGACAGAATGGGAAGGCACAGCAGGAATGACTGAAGCTGCAGGAGGAGCTGGTATCCCTGATAACAGGCCTTGACCACCACTTGGCACTCTGTGTGCCTGGCAGCGCAGCATGATTAGAATTGGGAGGAAGAGACTTTGGGCATCTTTCTTCTGCTTTACGGCCTTCTTTTTTCTTCTTGTTACACTCCAGGTACCGTTAATCCTCAGATTGGGTAGCTGCGGAGTTCTAGTCGGGGAAGGGAGGGAAAAGAGATGTATGTGGTTGCACTCCAACTGGTACACAATTCTGGCAGGACAAAGATGCCATTAAAGGCCCTGAATATTTTCATTAATAAATAACACTTTCAGAAGAATCCGTGTAAATAATTTCTATTAGTTGTGTACTTCACTGAGAGCACAGGGCTAGAGGGGAAAGGTAAATGAATTAATAACTTACTTACAAAACAAGGAGAAAAGACAAAACCCAAGGGCAAAGAATCAATGTGGGTAATAAGGGCTTAGAAAACTTTCAGTGACACTAATAATTATAGCATCTTATATAAAAAATGAAGACAAAAGGCCACAATTCATTTAAAGTCTGATCTTTCTACTTTTTTATTATTAATTATTATTATTAATAGGCATTCATCAGTAGCTCTTCTCCTCCAGACAAATGACATTTTGATGCATGTTTAAAGATGTCTAAAATCATTAATAAGTTTGGACTCAGCTACTGACTGCAAACTGTGGCCAGGAAGCTCTGACACAGTTGACAGAGTTGAGAAAGTGTTCTCAGAGCTGGGTGTCTCCCGGAGCATTGCCTCCAATGCATTGTCCTTCAATCATAGTATCACAAAACTCCTAAATCCTGGCTGTTTGGACCTGCAGCCATTCCATAGTAGCCCGGGGCTTGTCATCTCCCATGAGGTAGGCAGGGCCACCTGTTAAGTACTGGGACAGTAGACCACCAGGGAAACCTAGGCACTGCCGCGAATGGTGATGGTGACTCTTCCTTCCAAGTCTGTACTGACCCAATGGCCATTTATGGTGGTAGGAAGCACAGCGTCAGGCCAGCAAAAAAGTCTGATATGAAAGATAAATATGTTCATCTTTTTCCATGATATATAAATAATCTTACCTATTGCAGAGTATATTTAATTAGCGCATCTTTGGGCAGCAGAAAACAGGCCCATTCCTCCTGCAGTATCTTCAGGGCAGTTCCTCCTCTTCCCCTGGAGAAAGCTGGGGCTTCATTTCCCCTTTCCCACCCCAAAATTGTTCTTCGTCCTGCATTTTGCTGGTCCTCTTCTCCTGAAGTCTGAGACCCTCCTCTCTGCCCTCCAGGATCTCTCTCAGTCTGCTGTGTGCCCATTTCCTTCCACCCAGAGCAGCTGGGAGGAGAGCAGTGGGACGTGGTTCTGCCTCACACCATGCCAGCCGGCACAGCTGAACCAGCATGGCAGTATCTTAATTTGCTGCTGGCTTAGACTAGACTGGCCTTTATTAATAGACAGCAACCACGGCTAATGTAAGTCAGTCTTGGCTTGCAGTCAGACTCCTCTAGGCTGCAATCTCAATAGCTCTCACAAGCTAAGCAGGTTCATTTGGTCTGGCCAGGAGTTGAATTATATAATCATAGATATTAGAGTGTAACCCTCCCCCCTGCCCCCAACTATTAAGCAATCTCATCCTTCGCCCTGTGCACAAAGAACCATTTACAGTGCAACGTAACAAGGGTTTAGTGATCCTACAAAACCCTGCGGCAATTTTGTGTATTCTTGAGCGCCATCTACTTGCCCCTTATCTTGTAATTTCACTGTTTTCTGATACCTCCCTTTTCTAGAGCACGCCTGTAACAGGCAGGGCTAGTTTTAAAAATGGGCCACCCTCCATTTTGTAAGTCTTTACCAGACAGACAGCAGAAAGTATATTATAAACCACTGGGGCCCTCACCAGCTTCAAGCTGAATAATTTACTTTGTCTACTTAAATTCCCTTTACAGTTTCAAATGGGTATAGTATTTTTCACTTCCTATACTAAAACAGCCATGAAGTGCTGCTTAATGCTACTAAACAGCTGCCAACGTTCCCCAAGAGATGGCTGCGTTTCACTGACAAACTTTCCACAAGGAAATTAGCGTCTGCTAGCCAAACTCTGTGTCCCTGGCCATGCAAGTTATGATGTGTGTGTTTTTCTCCAAAGGTGGTTCTTGAACTGGGCAAGTCTGAAAGGAAGATAAAAGTCTCCAGTTTACAAGATGGTTCATTAAAACTGGAGGAGCAGCAGAAACATGCATATCAGTTTTTTAATAAACAGGAACTCTACAGCAATACCAGGAGAGTTTTAGATGCGGACAGATACCCTATCCTACTTTGGTGGTCCCCGCTGACTGGTGAGACTGGGAGGTTAGGTCAGTGTGGACAGGATGTCTGTTTCTTTACTATCAAGAGGACCTACCAGCATAATCACATGACAAAAGCCTTCCTCTTCTATGGTAAGGAATTGAGTCATTTTCAATGTGTGACTATTTCTCTGTTATTCCCCTGCTATTTCTCTGTTATAGATCAAGTACAGAGCAACTGTAAACCTCCACAGCAAAAGTTGTTAAAGTCTCTCTGATGACAAGTCGCAGAGAATCCTCCAGGGGCAGGGGTCGCAAGCTGGAGGATTCTCTGCGACTTGAAGTCTTTAAATCACGATCTGGAGACTTCAACAGCTGAGTTAAGGGAAAGTGGGTGGGTCAGCTTTTGTGGCCTGCATCATGCAGGAGGTCAGACTAGATGACCATATTGGTCCCTTCTGACCTTAAAGTCTATGAGACAAAGTGCACTGGCAAGTATCTGCACTTGCACCTAAAGTGCAGTTCGACTCTGAAAAGTGATCCTGTGAAATGGCGTTGTGGAATTACTTGTGTATTGTCTCTCGCTGACTTCTCGATCAAATGTGCTCGGTTTACATGTGACATGGACATTCTTCTCCCTGCCAGTCCTGAAAACTCAGCCCCAGATCTGAGAGTCAAGCTTGTTCCTTTCCTAGCCTCGCCCATTTGTCTTATGTGATACCACGCCATTCCCTTCCATGCCAAAGGGGTAACTAGTTGACTGTGAGTGGAACTCACTAAACAATTATCATTGACGATGCTCAAAGAGTAGAATCTAGTTCTCTCTCTGAGCCGTGTTGGCTCTGCAGTCAAAAGCAGAAACAACATTTTTGTCACTAATGTAAGCAGATATAACTCAAAATACATCAGTTAAGAAGCTGCAATTTGTACAGAGTTTCTTTTTAGAGAAAAACTGCATTTTATGCATTTCGTGCAAGGAAGATTTTTTTATTCTCTGACTGTAGGCTGCCGTCAACTAAAATATCTGATATTAGAAGACTATTTCAGGGTTCAGTACCTTGATTCATTAGCTCAGGGGGGCGCATGTGGTTTTTTGGTTGTTTTTTATTTTTTTTACAAAATGTGAACCACAGGAAACAAATGGCTTGTGATAATCAGTTAGCTTTATTTAACTGCAAACTTCCCACCTCTTCCATTCTGAGAGCTCTACACGACACCCAATTCCAAAGGGTAAGTAGGTCAGTTTCGTCTATTAGTGAGGCTGTGCTGAAGCATGAATGGGAAGAAAAAATTAGCAAAGGAATCAAAAGCTGACCCATTTTAAATAAAAGGAAACCAAAGCTTACATCACATGTATACTATAAAGTCTGTGATATTTCTGGCCTATGACAGTGCTTCTGTTTGCCACCCCCAGCTCTAACAGAAATACAAGTGGCTCATTGTACCAAGCTTGGGGAGATGATTAAATATACTTAATTAAATTGGAATGAATATATTAGCAAAAAGATCCTCCAAGTCCTTTTTTTAAAATCATGATGACAGTGCACATTTTGAAACCTTTTGCAAAGGCAAATTCAAAAACGTTTGGTTTTAAAATAGCAGGGAATAATCTATCACTGGCAGTCAAGCCAGACTCCAAGCTCGCCTATTATATTAAATGCGGAAAAGAAACCCTATGTTAATGCAAGGTTGTCACATATTTAAACATAGGAAAGTTAAGGAATGCATAAAGCAAGCTCTCATATTAGCATTAACTTGCCTTTATTGTACATTCTGGTTAAGCTTTTCAGAAGGGCAGCCATCTCTTGGAGGTTGCAGTTTACTACTGTGAAGTTTACACCTGCCATTGTCTTGTGGGTGGAAATCTGGGTGTTTGTATCTCAAGATCTCAACCTGCGGGCCGCTTGCAGCCCAGTCAGCACAGAGCTGTGGCCCATGTGACATCCTCATGGCCATACAGATGCGGCCCACAATGGTAAATAGGTTGCGAACCACAGCTCTAGATACCTGCCAGGGAATTGCATCCTCAAAGGAGAAGCGTCCCTGCTCTGCCTCTGAAATTTTTGCCTGTGGATATTCAGAAGATTTTGTGCCTTAAAGTGAAAGAAGAAGGTGCTTTTCGGTGGAATTGCTTTCCTAGCAATACTTGCTTTTGTTTATGGCGAGTCATCCCTCTTTACTCTCCCAGGCATCCTGTGTGGGTGATGTCTCGAAAGAGGCACTGCTGACCTGTCACAGAGGCCCACTCCTCTCCTCAGAGCTCAGGGTTCTGTTCAAAGGTGGAGAGATTTTACGCCTGCCCTTGGGAGGGTTTCCATGCAGTTCCCTTTTAAAAACTGGGATCACAGCGTTTACATTTGCAGGGAGAGCTCCTGCTTCCTGTGGATTTAGGAGCCAACTAAGGGTATGTCTCCACTGCAGTCAGAGATGTGATTGAAGCTAGGGTAGCCATTCTGGCTAGCTTTAATGACAAAAATAGCGGTATAGCTGTGGAGGAATGGACCCCAGCGTGGGCTAGTAATGTGACTATGTACGTACGGTCCCACATGTGCTGATACCCGTGCTTTGCATTTACATTGCTATTTTTAGCCACACTAGCGCAAGTAAAGCCAGCTCAGGTATATCTCTTCTAGCTTCAGTCACACCCCGGATTGCAGTGGAGACAAACCCTCAGAAGGTTCTGCCAGGAGCCAAGGTACCGGCTGCTAGAAGTGAACCTTTTGGCGGGGGTAGCGTCCCCACTACCAAAGCCGCAGACATGAGAATTCTAAGGGTATGTCTACACGGCAGTTATGGAGTGTGATTGCAGCTGATGTGGACATGCCCAAACGAGCTTTAATCCAGCTGGCTTGAGCACTGGAGCTGAGAAGCCAGGCAGCGCATGCTCAGTATAGGCTGGCCGTGCAGCTTAACTGCTCTGGTACCTGAGCTAGCTAGATGAAATCTACCTCGGGTATGTCTACACGAGCTGAAACGGCACCCAGTGACTGCAGTGTAGACATACCTTAAGAGCCAGGGGAGTTCTGCCCTGTCTACCCTTGGGGGATGAGACCCTGTGTGCAAGGTGCCTTCAAAGGAGCAGAGCCTTTTCATATCCCCCATTCCCCTCTGCACTTTGCCACGTATTACGGGTTTCCTAATTAATACTTGGGAAAACACTCATAATTATAGTCTCCAATCTTGTTCCACCTTCATCTCATCATAATCTTATTAATTCCTCTTTGTCCCACAGTGGTAGGTACTTTCATCATCTCTTTAATCCTTAAAAGTTCTTTGTCTACCAGCTTGACCAAGATTAAGTGTGTGCTATTGGAATCAATCATTTCAGGGCTTTTACCTCGAGTACAGGCTTCCCTTTGCCTAATTCTCCTCTTCTCAGTCAGTTTTACACTCCCCTTTCCACTCCCTCTGCTTTCTCACATCCTCTTTATAGTCCCGTTTTTCTTGACACCTCCTCAAAGAGGAAGTGTACATGTAAAAGCCAGCGAAGTCAAGGTTACTCAGAAGTCTATGGTATTTCACTATCCTCTACTCTTTAGCTCTTTCTAACACCACTTGAAAGCATGTTTTAAAAATAAAATAGCCCTCATGAGCTACTGTTCTAATAATTCACTTCCACTGCGAGCAGCTCACATCGCAATAACACAGCGAAAACAGAGAAAATGAGGATCATTTTCCTATGTGCAGTATGATGCCTCATTGTGGGAACATATGGTCACCACACAGAATCACATGTAAAAAGAAGAGGATACAGAAGGCTTTAGCTCCCCCAAATACCATCCATTGTCATTTATGGCTCTTGCACTATTGGTATTAGGATTTTATACTGCCACCCATCACTGTAGGAGCTGGTTGGATTGAAGGGAGTGCCATTCTTATGATGGGAAGTCTTTTTCAAAGAATCAGGTCTTGCTGCGTTTCCTAAAGATGGTCAGACTTTGGCTTCACCTGATGACCTCTGGACGTTGTTTCATGGCCAGATCCCCTCGATGGACAATAATGATTAAAATATCATCTTAAACTATAATAAAATAATATATACCGTAGTCTCCAACCAATAAGGAGTTGTCCTAATATAATTTTTTTAAGCACTTTGCAGTTAATCCTAAAACACAAATCACAGACTAATCAAATGAACTTCACACAAAAAATCCTGGAGCGAGAGTGTCTGATTTACCACCATGCTCTGGCTGCTTTGGGTCATTCTAGTGATGCAAAGCAGCCAAAAACCCAGGCTAAGGGGACAGTTGAAAGGCCAAGTTTATGGCTACTTTGCATTGCTGGAGTAGTCTGAGTGAATCTGTCCCAAATTTCCATTTGTATGGATTAATTCTCTTATCTGTTATAACTCCTGGATATTTGGTTACTAAAGCTTTTTGGAATAATGTCTTACTTTTTCTTTCAGAGTAGCAGCCGTGTTAGTCTGTATCTGCAAAAGAACAGGAGTACTTGTGGCACCTTAGAGACTAAATAAATTTGTTAGTCTCTAAGGTGCCACAAGTACTCCTGTTCTTTCTACTTTTTCTTATCCTTGGGGGTTGGGGAAAGTACAGTTACTTTAAAGGTAAATGGACACAAGCTCCAATAAGCATGTGTAATTATTGGGGTTACTGTGTACCCCAAACCTTAGGGGTGCCACTAGCATGCCTGGTGTACCACATTTTGCAGGCAAGCACAGTAGGTGCTTCAGCAGGTAGGCCTTGTAGGCGCTAGCCCTGGTGGGACCCAATAGCCAATCAGACACATGGCTACGGAAAGGTTTTTACTAGGGCTGGCAGGAAAGGAGAAAGGTTGCCGATACCCTGGATACAGAGGCTTAGTTACAGTTCAAAGTGAGCAATTGTGGTTCTTGTTTGGGCCCCTGTGGGCAGTCCAGTTGAGAGGCAGGGCGCTTTAGGCCTAGTGCCTGGGGTGCCCTCTCCAGTCCAGTCTGTACTCAAGCAAATAAGCATCTGCAGGCTTCCAAGCCAGGCTCAGTTAGTGTCCCTCATTGCACTGGCTCCCTGCCCAGCTGCTGCTGCTCCTCCAAAAGCCCCACAGAGACCTGCACCCAGCTATGATGTCCAGCAGTCACAGCCTGTCCATTTGTGGCCCTGTCAACAGTTCCCAAGGCGTCTCTTCAGCTTCCTGCCACTAAGTGGCTCCCACTTCTGAGTCCCAAACAGGGCCCTGCCACATCCTCGTTCAGGACCTTACCTGGCCAGGGGAAGGGGATGTACAGTGAGGAGGAGGCGGACAGGAGTTGAAGTCCCCAGCTTTGCAGATCCACCACACATGATTCACCTTTATGGTAACTCATATGCTCCAAGGCCTGTAATCTGAGAACTTGGTTATACAAGAACATGTGGTACAGATACCCACATCCTCACTCTAGTGTTTATTGTTGTGCTGTAATTGTTGGTTTCATAATTATGACTATTGTATCTGGAATTTTATTTTGACTCTGTGGCCCATCGTTCCAGAGAAGAAAGCAATCCTCTTATTTCTAAGTGTCTTACAACAATTAAAGATAATAACAAGTCCACTAAAATGCAAAATTAACACAACCCTTTTCAGCCTATCTAAAACACTGCTATTCCATTACAGAGTTTACTGGAAATATTAAGAGGCCAGTTGTGCCACCTTTACTTATGGTGAGTAGTACCTTACTACAGGACTAGACCTTTTGCAGTCAACAGAACCTTACTACACATACAATCATATTCATTGTGAGTAACAGTGGCACAGCTAGGCCCGAAGTAAATTACAAGGGCCTTTTACAGTGATTAAAAATATTTTTTTTCCTAGTTCAATATATTAAGGATATGGCTAGTAACATTATTTGTGTTTGTCTAGGTACTGACTTTAATATAGATAGCTTACCCCTCCCTCGTAAACGCCATCACGACTGGGCCCTTTTCCATGAAGAGTCGCCCAAAAACAACTACAAGCTCTTCCACAAACCTACCATCACCTTGTTCAACCATACAGCTACCTTCAGTCGCCACTCCCATCTGCCGCTGACTACTCAGTATCTGGAGGGCATAGAGGTCATAAAGTCTCTGAGATACATGGTTCCGTTGCAAAAGAAGAATAGCTTGAGAAAAGGACTTGCACCGCTTGTGTACGTGCAGTCCGATTGCGACCCTCCTTCAGACCGGGACAGCTACGTACGTGAGCTGATGAGCTACATCCAGGTGGACGCCTATGGTGAATGCTTGCATAATAGAGACCTTCCCCAGCACCTCAAAAACCCAGCCGCCATGGATGACGGTAACTTCTATAGAATACTTGCTCAGTACAAATTCATTCTTGCTTTTGAAAACGCAGTTTGCGAGGATTACATCACTGAAAAGCTCTGGAGGCCCCTCAAGTTGGGAGTGGTACCAGTGTACTATGGGTCCCCCAGCATTACAGACTGGCTTCCTAGCAATAAGAGTGCAATCCTTGTAACAAGATTTTCACATCCCAGGGAGCTGGCGCACTACATCAAGGCACTGGATACAAATGACAAAGAGTACGAGGCCTACCTAGAATGGAAAGTGAAAGGGGCCATCTCCAATCAACGACTGCTCGCTGCTATCCAAGAACGCAAATGGGGAGTCCAGGATATCACGCAGGACAATTATATTGATGTGTTTGAGTGTATGGTGTGTAATAGGGTGTGGGAAAACATCAGAAGGCAGGAAAAGGTACTCATAACTCTCATTGGGTTTGGGGTTGTTTTCTTTTAAGTATAGCTAGCTTTGGCGAACAGAATCTGACTGATCTTCCAGCAAGGCTAAAACTCCGGTGCCATGCTGACATACACAGACTGATATACACTTTATTAGAGAACACTGCCTCATAAGTTCAGTAGTTACAATCATGAGGGGCCACTTGTTAGGGTCAGAGAGTAGTTCTGTCTCCTGGGCCTCTCTCCTGGGATTACTGGTTGTGGTGGATTTTTCTGATAGGGACACAGCACACCTGGAATTAAACTGAAACCACAAACTCATTTAATGTCTGCCTCAATCATCACGCAGTAAAGATGGGCAGCCACCTTTTCAAAAGTGGCCACTGATTGTAGATTCCACAGCAGTTTAGGTGTCCAATTTCAAGCACCAAGAATGGAGGTGCCCAAAATCTATTTTGAATTTTTTCCCCTTGGTCATTTATCAATATGGATTGAATTATTTTTACATCTGCTTATCCAAATCAGGAACTTTGCTTACATTTACATTATCACACAATCTGGCTTGTGATACTGTATCTCCTCTGCTGTTTTCTACTGCGGCAGTCTGAACTGTAGCGCTTTCTCATCAACCAGCAAGGGGAGACAGAAAACTCTTAGGAAGATGAACTGTACTCCTATGGAAAATGGGACTAAGAATACTCATGTTGTTTTCAGCTACTTGTCTGTTGATCATTAGTTAAATGGGAGTAAAAATTTTGCCATGCAAGTTATTGAGCATTCAGCTTATCTAGGATTGTCAGTTCTATGGAGCCTTTAACCTACTCTGCAAATTTCTGGTCAGACAACCTCTTTTTTGCTTAACCATGCAAGTGTAGGAAGCAGGTGTAGGAGAGAGTAACTATAGAACTGAAAGCTGAGATTCTCCTAGTTCCCACATTGCTAGGTCTCCCTAATCAAGGAGGCTTCCAGGACCAAAAGGCCCGCTGAGTTCACCAGTGCCTGCTTCATAGCTCCTATCACACAATGCATATTGAAATGATAACAATTAATTGCTAAACTCTTAAAGTCAGAATCTCAGCTGGTATAAATCAGCGCAGCTCTGTCCAAGTCAAGAGAACATCACCAATTTCTATGAGCTGAGGCTTTGGCTATTCTCTGATCCTGATCCATTGAAATCAGTGGGAGCTTTGCTAATGACTGCAATGAGCATAGGATCAGACCCCAGAGCAGGGATTAGAATATGGTGCTGAAATGACTCAGTGGATTGGTAGCTACAGGGAACCCTTCGCAGTTAGGTTGTCAGTTCGGTGTAGCCCAATTCTGTCTCATCTGGAAGCTTTTACCATCTGATTCCTTTTTTTGGTGGCCTATATGAAAACTAATTTGGTTTCAGTCCCGTTCCCAGTGAAGAGATGTCTCCCTTCCGAAAATCAGCGCCATGACTGCCACTCTCATGGATGTGAGAGAGACAACGAAGTAATATCTTCTATTGGACCAACGTCTGTTGGTGGAAGAGACAAGCATTTGAGCTGACACAGTGTCCTGAAGAAAAGCTCTGGGAAGCTTGAAAGCGTCTCTCTTCAACCAACAGAAGCTGGTCCAATAAAAGGACCAACCAGCTTGTGTCTCTCATATCCCAACATGGCTACAACAACACTGCAAACAACTCATGTGGATGGGCAGGGAAACCAACCTACTCTTTCACTCTTCAGGGCATCATTAAGGTACATCCTGCAGGGCAGGGTAGGGAAGTTTTCGGTTTCACTGCATGTGCTATGCCCATTCTATCAAAGCAGTCAGGCAGGATACAGTACAGAGCATGAACTTCACAAAGAGGTGTTCCTACGGTGCAAGGAACAGTGAAATATTCTTTCACTGAGAAAGAGAATTCGGGAGGGGGTAGAATACTACTAATCAGTGCAGCTATCCATGACCTGGAGTCTAATTAAACCCTTCCTGTGTTTCTCCTCCATTGCCAGGGATTGCCACCCAGGAGATGGAACGCACAGGTTAACCACCTGAGTTGCCCAAAACCTGAGGCTTTCTTGTTCTCCTCTCCAAACATACGCTGGACATCTCTGCAAGAGATGTGGATACCAAGCTTTGAACAATCCAAGAAAGAAGCCCAAGCACTGAGACAGCTGGTGGAAAGGAATATGAACTTTACAGCTCAGGAATTTTGGACACTTGTATTCAAAGAAGAAACACGATAGGCTATCACACAGAGTGAGCTCCCCAAAGGAGTCAGATATGTAATAGTCTTTTGCACGATGCCTTAACATTTGTAGGTCAGTAAGTACAGGAAGGAGTTACATTGTCCTGTAAGATAGAATGTAATAGGTACAGTACTCAGTAAGTACTGATAAACTACAGAATTACCCTCAGCGGTCTTTTAAAAACTGTATTTTGATACTAATTGTCATTAGCTTGGACATTTGAGCATTAAGACCCCTACTCAGGAAGGTGCTTAATGCACATGCCTGATTTTAAGCATATGAGTAGTCCCAGTGAAGCGAATGGCACCATAGTCACTTGCTTAGTATCAGGCCCTTCCTTGCAGGCCTAGCAGAACCAGGCCCTTTGCCTTCTCTGATCCAAGCTCCCACATGCTGGGTTGACACTCACAGGCTATGGAATAGTTTATACAATCACATAGGTGTGACCTCTGTGGCAGAGTGCCTTTGAGGCAGGTGTAGCGATCAGGCCTGCTGCTCAGTATGTCTATTTATCATCAGTCCCCTTGGCATTCACAGTTTGAGTTCGGACTTGGCAAGCTAAAACGTCCTGAGGCTGAGTAGGAATGTAAAATGCATCAGTATTTAGCACTGGGAAACTCCATCTGCTACTGCCCGGGGACAGAAAGAATGAAAAATGCTGGGTAAGATTTAACCACCATCTCCTGTTTAAAACATAGAACCGTATGAATTTTTGCCCTCCAGGGGGGGTCACTCCAGACTAATTAATTCAGTTTATTCTGTGGTAATCTATTTTCATTCACTTAGACAATAATAGCCACACAAAGATGAAAGGATGCGATTGGGTGAAGCAGGGATTAAATGAAGGGCCTGATCCTGCTGCAAAGCCTTACCTATGTCGACACTAGAAATGCTACAGTGGCACAGCTGCAACAGAGCTGTCACAGAGCCGAAGTGCCTAGTCCTCGATAGGATCAAACCCGTGAAGCATATCGGATATCAATAGGTATGTCTACACTGCAAAAATAAGCCCTCCAAACCAAACCAAATCAAAACTGTGCAACGAGTCTCAGAGCCTGAGTCAACTGCGGGACTTGTGCTACGGGGCTCAAAATAGCAGACGAGGCGTTCCCGCTCAGTCTGGAGCCCGGACTCTGAGACCAGCCCAAGTGGGAACATCTACACTACTATTTTTAGCCCTGTTGCATGAGCCCAAGTCAGTTGACTCAGGCTCAGACTGGCTGCCTTGTTTTTGGTTTGCCGTGTAGACGTACCCTTACATGCAATCTTCAAAAAATTGCCCGTTTTACCTTTTAACATAACACCAACAGCTGTAAAATATTGCTTTGTTTTCTCTCTCTCTCTTTTTTTTAAAGAAGCTGTGAAGAGGGTTAATGCTGGAATGATCAGGCCATCTGAGAGCGATGAACTAAGCATAAAGTAGGAGAACAATGGAGCGACTAACTTAGAAATCTTACACTGAATCAATGACTAAGAAAGTAATTAAAGAAATCCAATATAAGAATTCCTGTGTTCATTTCTGTGCAGCACGGGCCCTGGTCACACTGCGGGTGAATGACTGGGCTCTCTCCTGCACACAGAATGCTCAGATGGGGTGGCACCCATTGGAGATTCAGCCAAATCCGTTCTCGTGCGAGGCATTAGAGCAGGGGTCGGCAACCTTTCAGAAGTGCTGTGCCGAGTCTTCATTTAATCACTCTGATTTAAGGTTTTGCGTGCCAGTCATACATTTTAATGTTTTTAGAAGGTCTCTTTCTATAAGTTTATAATATATAACTAAACTATTGTTGTATGTAAAGTAAATACGGTTTTTAAAATGTTTAAGAAGCTTTATTTAAAATTAAATTAAAATGCAGAGCTCCCCGGACCAGTGGCCAGGACCCAGGCAGTGTGAGTGCCACTGAAAATCAGCTTGAAGGCGATAGGTGCTGCACACTTATGTGTGAGATGCCTTTTACCAGTCATCAGCCCTGTGTCTGCCTGCCAAGAAATATGGTGATATAGTGAGTGGTCTCCCATCTGCCTTTATGGCAGTGGATTGGGAAGAACAGCACATGGGGCATCTCTGTTTGGGCCTTAAGACATCGACTGTCCACCCCAACACATTCCTTCCATCTGCTCTCCCGAGCAACGAAGTATAGCCAGGGTGGATAAAAAGCAATGATTTTTTTAAAAAAATCAAAAAATCAGATTTTTTTTATTTAAATCGGATTTTTTTGATAAAATGTTTTTTTGAGGAAAAAACCTATCTAAAGATAATTTTAATTAAGCTACATTATAGCTCAAAGATATCTCATCATGGAATACGGATTATAAATTCTAATTCTATAGTATGAGACAATATATTCATGTAATGTTTAAGAAAGTTTTGTAAATGAGTTCCAATAGTTCATGGATTAGGGACTCAATCTTATGGGGCTCCAGGGGCTTCTGTTTAGATTATTTAGGTTAAGCTTTCTATCTACCCAATGGGACTCAGTGCTCAGTCTAGAAGATTCCATCAGAGATACTTAGTTTTGCAGTTCTCTAACTGTGGATTTGTGTCTCCAGAGATAACATGCTTGTTAACAGCCAAAATGTTTTAAAATAAATAAATAAATAAATAAATATATAGAAGTGAGAAATAACAGATCTCAACCCTATTGTCCCTCTTCAAAATTGTGTACACAGAGTCAATTCCTTACCTCTCTCTAAAAGTGCAAAGTTTCAAAAAGTTCAATGAATAGAAGATTGTTGGGGGCGGAATAGATCTGGACAAGGAGAAGAAGACTGGAGATAAATGTGAGAAGGGAGGGACAGGCAGTAGAAACAAAAGTGAAACTGTTTGAGCAGCATATTCCAGAAGTCTTGATGTCTTTCTGAGTTGTAGCCTTCATTGATTTGAGATCTACCATAGCATTCTCTCACTAGAAGGGAAAACCTATAATGGCAACAGGCCGTAAAAGAGACCCAGTTTGGGAATATTTTAATGAAGTTCCTCTACTTGTGAAGAATATGTATTAAGGTTATAACAACCAACAAGAATGCACTTTTATGTAGAAATCCATGATTAAATCGAGTCTTCCTGACTAGTGATTTAAATCAAATCCACCCTGAGTATAGCATGTGGCTTCAGCTACTTCTCCACAGAAGCACGAAGCAAGTGGTCATGCCTAGAGAGTAGCCCTGTGTAATGCATCTTGGGATCTGGCCGCATGCTCTACTCTATGTAATGATTATACTTCATATATCAAACTAAACAGAGTGTAAATTAAATATTTTCCAAATTAAAAAAAAATGTTCCACAAAGTAACCCCCGCATCAGAGTTGTTATTAATGGTTTCCAATCCTGCTGGAAAGGCATAACAAGTGGGGTTCCGCAGGGGTCTGTTTTGGGACCGGCTCTGTTCAATATCTTCATTAACGACTTAGATATTGGCATAGAAAGTAAGCTTATTAAGTTTGCAGATGATACCAAACTGGGAGGGATTGCAACTGCTTTGGAGGACAGGGTCATGATTCAAAATGATCTGGACAAATTGGAGAAATGGTCTGAGGTAAACAGGATGAAGTTTAACAAAGACAAATGCAAAGTGCTCCACTTAGGAAGGAACAATCAGTTTCACACATACAGAATGGGAAGAGACTGTCTAGGAAGGAGTACAGCAGAAAGGGATCTAGGGGTTATAGTGGACCACAAGCTAAATATGAGTCAACAGTGTGATGCTGTTGCAAAAAAACCAAACGTGATTCTGGGATGTATTAACAGGTGTGTTGTGAGCAAGACACGAGAAGTCATTCTTCCGCTCTGCTCTGCGCTGGTTAGGCCTCAACTGGAGTATTCTGTCCAGTTCTAGGTACCGCATTTCAAGAAAGATGTGGAGAAATTGGAGAGGGTCCAGAGAAGAGCAACAAGAATGATTAAAGGTCTTGAGAACATGACCTATGAAGGAAGGCTGAAAGAATTGGGTTTGTTTAGTTTGGAAAAGAGAAGACTGAGAGGGGACATGATTGCAGTTTTCAGGTATCTAAAAGGGTGTCATAAGGAGGAGGGAGAAAACTTGTTCACCTTAGCCTCTGAGGATAGAACAAGAAGCAATGGGCTTAAACTGCAGCAAGGGAGGTTTAGGTTGGACATTAGGAAAAAGTTCCTAACTGTCAGGGTGGTTAAACACTGGAATAAACTGCCTAGGGAGGCTGTGGAACCTCCATCTCTGGAGATATTTAAGAGTAGGTTAGATAAATGTCTATCAGGGATGGTCTAGACAGTATTTGGTCCTGCCATGAGGGCAGGGGACTGGACTCAATGACCTCTCGAGGTCCCTTCCAGTCCTAGAATCTATGAATCTTTTATTGGGCTAAATTTTATAATATTTTTAGCAGTTTATCTAACAGCCATCTTTGTAAGAAACCAAACATTACAAAAATAGTGTAGCATCACTATACATATTGTGACAAAGTTCCTCCTCTATCTTGGTGGGTCCTGCGCTTATTGGCGGATTTTCCTGCCTCAGAGATTCGCCATGTGGGTTGGGGAACAGCCCAGAGACCTTCCCCTCTGGAAGAACCCACAGTCCAGGTCAATTGGGAGGTTTGGGGGGAACCCAGGCCCGCCGTCTACTCCGGGTTCCAGCCCAGGGCCCTGTGGACTGCAGCTGTCTATAGTGCCTCCTGTAACTGCTGCATGACAGCTACAACTCCCTGGGCTACTTCCCCATGGCCTCCTCCAAACACCTTCCTTATTCTCACCACAGGACCTTCCTCCTGGTGTCTGATAACGCTTGTGCTCCTCAGTCCTCCAGCAGCACACCCTCTCACTCTCAGCTCCTTGCGCCTCTTGCTCCCAGCTCCTCACACTCACCCCACAAACTGAAGTGAGCTCCTTTTAAAACCCAGGTGCCCTGATTAGCCTGCCTTAATTGATTCTAGCAGCTTCTTCTTAATTTTCTCCAGGTGTCCTAATTAGCCTGCCTGCCTTAACTGGTTCTAGCAGGTTCCTGATTACTCTAGTGTAGCCCCTGCTCTGGTCACTCAGGGAACAGAAAACTACTCATCCAGTGACCAGTATATTTGCCCTCTACCAGACTCCTGTACCCCACTGGTCTGGGTCTGTCACAATATACAGAAGGGGTAGGAGGAAGAGCAATGTTATGATAAAGTTCTAACTGCCCTACATTTTCTGCTGAATGGTTTTTAAAAATACTGATCCCTTGCTTCCAGGCATCTGTGTAAATATGTCTACTAAACACAGTTTTAAATGACTGTTTGTAATGTAGTTGGTTTGCTCATCTCTTAATATGCTCCTTTTAAAAAAAATAAGGCATTATTTACATTCGGCATCTGGAATATCTGGGAAGTTTTTTCATCTAGCATATGTACGTATTACATACAAAACACTTTATTAAAAGAATATTAAAGTTGCAAAGTCAAGCATGACCATATCACAGGGGTGGGCAAACTTTTTGGTCTGAGGGCCACATCTAGGTGGGGAAATTGCATGCAGGGCCATGAATGAAGGGCTGGGGCAGGGGGTTGGTGTGTGGGAGGGAGTGTGGGGTGTGGGTGCAGGAGGGGGCTAGAGGGGCTCAAGGCAGGGGGTGGGGTGCAGAAAGGGTTCGGGGTGCGGGCTCTGGCCCAGCGCTGCTTACCTCGAGCAGTGGGGTGGCAGTGGCGCACAGTAGGGCTAAGGCAGGCTCCCTGCCAGCATGTCCGGCAGTGGCTCCTCAGGGTGGTGTGGGGCAGGCGCCTCCGCCGC